ATATATTACKATAACAACAGACCAATACTGTTTTTTTTTTCAAACCACAACAATTCACTTAAATATAATCAGCTTATCAAGGGAYTGATTATTTTTTTTTTCCCTGGGAYATCAATMTCTCTAAATAGCTCATCTTAAACAAGACAATTCTAATTTTTTTTATGTGATTATAAAAAGAAACTTTTTGAAAAAGTTTATGATTGCTGCCTAATTTATTTTTTTTTTTTTTCCTCTTTGTGGTTATAATATCTCACTGTAATTACTCAAACCACAAATTTTTTTTATTGCTTTCTCTATTGTTTTGGATTAAAAAGTGAATATCAAGTTATTTTTTCTTTTTTTTTAAGGATTCATTTTCAAGTTAGCTATCAAGTGAATATATTATCAGCAAGAGGTTGTTTTTTTGTACATGTAGACTACATATCCAATTACAGAAATAATTTAAATTATCTTAATCTGTTTTTTTTTAACAATACTGTCTTAGAATATGTGCACAATGTTAATTCATCTATACAATTAATTTTTTTAAATCAAAAAAAAAAAATAGAAAAACAAATATTAGAAGAGTATAATATGAAATATTTTTTTTAATCTTATTGTTAGTAATAATACTGTAGATTCACAGGCAGTCTCACCTATAACTTTTTTTCATCATTATATTTTGCCTTATGGTAAACCTCAACTGCCCTCATTCACAAACAAATTTTTTTGTTTTTAAAATAAACTAATTTAAGGTTATAACACAAGGGGGAAAATTAGTTTAATTTTTTTTAAACTAAATTGCTAAAACCGTGATTGTACAAAATACAATATGATGATTTAGAATTTTTTTCATATTTATTTGAATTTTGTATTCTGTGAAAAAACTACATTCTTACCATCTGTATTTTTTTCTTCAGAGCTGACTTGGTTTTTATCCAAAGTATTTTCATCTTTGAGATTAGGTCTTTTTTTTTCATCTGTATTAGTAGTTTGAGGAGAAAGAATTTCAACTTCAACTTCAACCTCTTTTTTTTCACTTGTTTCATCATCTTCAGGAGATATTTCCTCAGTTAGTTTATTATCCACATTTTTTTCTTCTTGCATTGAGGTAGGAATGTCACTAGTTGTTCTCTGATCTTCACTTTCCATTTTTTTTTGTTGATTAAGTTCACTTCTTTCCATATCAGTTTTTACGTCAGTACCTGCAATTTTTTTTCCTGGACAGTCATTACTTACTGGATTTTTTTCTGTCTCTTCAACTTCAACACTTTTTTTTTTAGTATTATCCAATACACTTTCCTCTTCATTTTTAATTTCTGTATCAGTTTCCCTTTTTTTATCATTGCGCTCATTGACCACATTGTCTTCAACGTGATCAGTCTGTAAGATAGATTTTTTTTTTTCTTTGTGAAGCATGTTATCCATTAAAGTATCTTGACCAACATTAGTTTGTTTTTTTTCATTTGTATCTTCTGAATCTGGTTTAGTTTCATTTTGAGTAATTTCCTCATCAGTTTTTTTATCTTCCATTTCTGATGATATTTTTTCTTGGTTKTCATTTTGTTCTGAAGTGTCTTTTTTTTTTGTTTCATTTTTTACACTATTGTCCTCCATTTCAGAAATACTASYTGGTGYCTTTTTTTTGACATTTTCACTCTCTTCATTTTCTGCATTTTCGACTGATACAACAAACTCCATTTTTTTACTGTCCCTCCTAGACTTAAAATATCCAAGTTCAGTWGCTTCAGAGTTTTTKTCTTTTTTTTGAATTTCCTCCTGTGATGTGTTTTCAACATTCTCATTTTCCATATTTTCAATTTTTTTTTCTTCTTTGTCATCTGAGCTACCAACTTCATCATTACGATGCATCTCTAGTTGATTTTTTTTTGGATRGACAGAAGGTGTCTCATCTTCACAAAGAGYTTCTTTGCTGTRAGCCTGTTTTTTTATATTTTCCTCCGCTAATTCTCTATTTTCATTTTCATCAATTTCATCATCTTTTTTTTTTTCGGCAKCTATGCCTTCTGCTTCATTTCCACCTTGTTGTTCCTTGGGAGCTTCCTTTTTTTTAGACAAAAATAATGTTCACATTACTAAGTGATTCCAGTATTTACAGTCAAAAGATTTTTTTCGCACCCCCTCAAAACACCATTGTTCAATTCATTATTCGATTCTTGGTCGTTTCTTTTTTTCATTATTGAAATCAAATTTGAATTGAAACTTCGAAATCGGATCAAGATTTGAATTTTTTTTAGTATTAATCAAATGAAGTTTGAAAACGAAAAATAAAATGAAAAATCCAATAATTTTTTTTATAACGAACTATTCAAGGGAGAGCTTCATGTCTTTTGACATTAAGAGTTGAAAATTTTTTTAGTGACTTATGATTCCTAAAGACAAATCCGATGGTTTTGAAGTTATCTCTACAATTTTTTTCCATTTTCTACTTCAAATAGGTAGATAGTAAAAGTAATTATAAAGTAATTCCAATTTTTTTCTTAAGGTTATTAATTTTCAAGATCAACTGAAGATGTGGTTCCACTTCAAGGACTTTTTTTAGTTGCTTCTAGGATCTTCCATATATTATAATCATGATGAAAAATTATATTAAGTTTTTTTATAACATGACCTTAACATAATTATGATTCTCAAACAAAAAATAATAAAAATGTGTTTTTTTTGTCAATGCATTTTTTCAATAACAAAGAATAAAATTCAAGTTAAAATCACTTTATTTTTTTGGAATTCACTTAGCATGAAATGTGCTATGATAACAACGCATGCTACGCTTTTTTTTTTTTTTTGGTTCTGCAATGAATGACGTGCGAATAAGAATTGTTTACAATATAAAAAGTATTTTTTTCACGAAAAACAATCGCCACGGGACCCTTGAGTAAATCAAAATCTAGTTACAACATTTTTTTTGGAAATCGTCTGCTAATAAATACAAATTCAAAAATTGGAAGGAATTGTACATTTTTTTTTTCAAGTTATCAAATGAACTCTGTCTTGCGCAGGATTCAATATCGCATTAATTCATTTTTTTAAACTTGAATTTGAAAAGTTTTTTTGTGTGAAAAGAATTCGTCGAAAATGTAGTTTTTTTTTAACTTATTACTTGTAAGTTTTTCAATAAAATCGATGTGACGCCAATTGTAATATTTTTTTACAGTACATCGCAAATGACATGTTGGATTATTATTCCGTTCCCAAAGGCTTTCATTTTTTTATTAAAATCATTTAGGAATATAGCTAATCTTTATAGTGACAAACAAAAACAGATTTTTTTTGCTGAATGTGTTCAATTAGCGAAAAAGTCAATGAATCACAAGAACATGGGAAGTTTTTTTTGTACGGTATCTCTAAAAACATCAGCGATAAGAGTCTAACACAATCTTTGTGACTTTTTTTTACAAGCTCAAAAGACGAGCGATTGTCATCATAGTTAAATCGCTTTAGCTTGTTTTTTTTTTGTGTAAACTCATGGAAGTAGTTGTAATTTGCGGTGTTACCTTGAAGTTGGAAGTTTTTTTTGGGTATGAACGAAGGCACGATTTGGCCTGCATAAAACGCAAGGCAACCCAGGTATTTTTTTTGTTTAGAAAACACCACACCACCAGCTAGAATCTGGTCACTGGGGAACGATTGCTTTTTTTGCTCAATGTCACGATGTAAGAAATCCTCCAGCAAATATACGTTTCTGCTTTTACTTTTTTTAAACTTGTACGTTCGTGATTCGAATTCTTGGCCAATTGACCCAAACTCACGGATTTTTTTTCAGAATAACCCATCGTCAATTTCATTGTCATAGTTATGGAAATCAAAGCAATCATTTTTTTTAGTCGTTTGCAGACTACTCTTTTTAACCATTCTCTTAAGAAAACCCCGTTTATTTTTTTTCTCAACTGATAGCACAGTAAGCTGTTCATTTGGATGGCTTCCATCTTGCTCGTTTTTTTTTCGTCCACTAATAGTTATGCAAAATTCTGCAGCAGGTTTCAGCTCAAACACTTCCTTTTTTTTCTTCTCAAAAACAAGGAATTCTGCAGTGAAAGTCCTGTCTGAAGACAGTTGTTTTTTTTTTAGCACATCTACGGAAGTTACTAAAAGATTAGGACACTTCCAGCCTAGACTCGCTTTTTTTGCCTCATGCTTTACAACACAACCAACTCCCAAAGTCACGAAATTATCTTGCTGTTTTTTTTTTTCACGAATTCTACAAATTGCGTGCTCAACCTTGTTCATTGTAGTGTATTAATTTTTTTTATTTACAGTTGCTAGTTGGAAGTAATTAAACATTAAAGAGTAGCGATCTAAACCTTTTTTTGTTCTCTTACCCTACTACTTCCATGTTATACAGCTGCACCGCGCCTTGCTTGACTTTTTTTCACGCGGAAAATCATTTAACTATGGGGGGTAGGGGACGGGAAGGAATTCTTCTATTTTTTTTGATCACGAAAATCGACGTTTATTTTGTAATTTGTAATCAGAAAATCAAATTTGTTTTTTTAAATGTCCCAATGAAATTGCATAAAATGATTTCGTTACATTGCTATTACAAATATTTTTTTGAAGGAAATGTTGTTGTCCTTGTCACACTTAGCGTGTCTTATCGGCTCCCGCTCTTTTTTTTCAATGGACTAAAATGAGCGGTAATTTTTTGTACAGAAAAAAACAAAATAAAACTTTTTTTAAGTAAAGAAAGACTATTATAACTTCATTAACAATCTATAAAAGCTTTCGATTTTTTTTTTTAATTRTTATTATTATTATTATTAATTTGTAAGTTGAATATATGAATGAAGGAGTTTTTTTAGAAAGGAAGGGAATTTTTAATACAAAAGCAAACACACATTAGTAAGTTTCTCATTTTTTTCCTGTGCTTTCTGGAAAGACCTGGTTACCAATTGTTGCGCAAGTCAATGAAAGATTTTTTTGGAAAGAAACGTGTTTTATGACACAAATTGAACTCGAAATATTATCAAATCTACTTTTTTTCAAAGTTTACTAAAGTCAGAATGGTGAAAAAGAAAGACAAGAAAGGGGGTGCGATTTTTTTGGCGGCTCTCGCTGCCGCAGTAGAAGCAGCGGAGAGTGAAAATCGAGAGAATATTTTTTTTAAAATGGCGGATTTAGAATTAGAAGAAGGCCAACAAAATGGCAAGGGGAAATCRTTTTTTTTAAAGGGAGAGAAAAAAAGTAAAGTAAACGACAGAGAAGAAGAACAAGAAGAATTTTTTTTTGCCGACGCGTTTTATGATCACGAAGCAGAAATCAATCAAAAGAAAGAAGTAGATTTTTTTCCACGTAAGATTTTAAGTTCTGTCAAACTGTCTTTTCTTTGATGAGCATTAAATTTTTTTTCTATCAAATCTTTGGATCTATAAACTTAACTATTCTGACTGTTAAAAAATATTATTTTTTTACAGCTGTGGCAAAGGATGGTCTGTGTCTTGTGATTCTTGGTTTTATGAGAGGGTTTTTTTTTCCTTCGCTATTTTGAATAATTTCACTRTCTTTGAATCTGCAGTCGAAGACACTTTTTTTCTGAGTAGAAAAGAACTAAAGAAACTTAAAAAGCAGGTATATCACTCTTTTGATTTTTTTTCCATTCAGTTTTCTGTACATCATTTCATTCATTTATTTTTCCATCCATCCATTTTTTTTTTATTTATTAATTTTTTCTAATGAATCTTGAAGGAAAAATTCAAATCAGAGATGGATTTTTTTGAAACATCACAGTTTTCTGTCTCACAACAAGAGTCATCAGCTAAAACTGCAATCTTTTTTTATGCACTGGATATAAAGGTATTTAATAAATAGTAGAGGTTTACATCAGGTGTATTTTTTTTGCAGGTCTGGATTTTCAAAAAGCAAAATATTCTGAACTTTTTAGTTCAAAAAGATTTTTTTTCTCCACTAGTAGCATCTATCTGATTCATTCAATAATCAGACTCAATGGTTGACTTTTTTTTTTTATAATAGGTTGAGAAGTTTGGTATTTCTGCCAGAGGCAAAGAGTTATTTGTTTTTTTAAGTTTGAATATCACAAAYGGACGGCGGTATGGTTTGGTTGGACCTAATGGGTGTTTTTTTCAATAAATGAATGCACTKACAAYCCCAACWATTTCYATACTTGTGCTTGAAYAGTTTTTTTCCATTGTKACTATGAAGGTGTACTATTTTTATCATTTTTGTTTTATAGAATGGGTTTTTTTACTCTACTGACTCACATAGCTGAAAGAAWACTTGCAATCCCACCAAACATTGATTTTTTTTTGTGTGAACAAGGTATATTTGATAGTATTTGCTTTTCTCGTAGTCACAACTATCTTTTTTTACTTTGTTTGAAACAGTGTCTTGTTTTTGTTTTGTTGTGCTTTTTGTTGTTGTTTTTTTTTCTTGCATGTTACTGATTAAACCATGTCTTTTTACTTTGGTATCATATTTTATGATTTTTTTCTCTTGTGTTTTAGATGTAAAGGCTGATGATACACCTGCGTTTGATGTTGTGCTTTTTTTTGACAAAAAAAGACTTCACCTAATGGAAGAAGTAAGTCTATAGCGAATGATATCTTTTTTTTTGATGGCTTTTGCAAGTATTCATTCTTTTACTGTTATTAATTCAGTTTTATTTTTTTTTTTAAAAACATCTTGTGAAGTTATCAGAAACAGGAGATGAAGGAGCCATTGAAAAACTTTTTTTGGTAAAGTGTATTATGAGTTATAGTAGGTAGTTCTTATTAACATGCATGATGTGTTTTTTTTGTAAACCTTGTTTAATATGCCATTTATATTGCTAGGTTTATGCTGAACTAGAGTTTTTTTGAGCCTCATCTGCTGAGTCAAGAGCAAGGAGAATCTTAGCTGTATGTGATAAAATTTTTTTGAATTCATTCAGTGTTTCATTGATTTTTATCTTTAATATCACTTACAATGAACTTTTTTTTATGCAGTGAGCACAAGAAATGTTTGTATTTGCTAGAGAAACTTTACACAAATGTTTTTTTTATTTGTTTGTAGGGTCTAGGGTTTACTACTGAGATGCAATCAAGGCCTGTCAATTTTTTTTCCGGAGGATGGAGAATGCGTGTATCTCTAGCAAGGTACAATCCGAGAGTATTATTTTTTTTAATGGTACTTTCGATATCTTAACACTGGCCTAGCTTTTTGTACAAGAAATGGTTTTTTTTTGGTAAAATTAATGTATTGAAAAATTAGAGTTGTATTTTATTTTTGTTTTAATCTTTTTTTTTCTTTTTCTTGAGCCTACTCTACTGATGCTTGATGAACCTACAAATCATTTAGATTTTTTTGCCGTCATCTGGCTAGACAAGTATGTATGACTATGATTAAACAACATTATCAATTTTTTTTTATAATGCTGTACATCTTTGTTTTCATTCAGTATTTTCATATAAAATTGGGATTTTTTTTTCATGTTTATCGATTTTGTATCATGTGGGTATCAACAAGAAAATGTGTAATATTGTTTTTTTTGTTTTTTTCTTTAGTTATCTTCAAAACTGGAAGAAAACCTTACTTGTGGTATCTTTTTTTCAATACTTCCTGGACAGTGTCTGTACTGATATTATCCACCTTGGTAGACCATCATTTTTTTTTTACAAGTCTTAACAACCTTGTACTTAATAGTATATCTTTTATTTATTCCAGATTTTTTTAAATTACATTACTACAGAGGAAATTATGGTAAATTATGATTTTCCATTTGCTTTTTTTTTTTCCACAATACATTGTATTAAATCCCAATCCTCTATTCCTAGTTATTGAAATCCATTTTTTTTCTTTTAAAAGGACAATTCAAGAAAATGTACAAGCAGAAAGTAAAAGAACAAGATTTTTTTTACCATAAGCAGGTGGGAGTTTTCATAAATATTGAAGAATAAAATGTATGTAAATTTTTTTTTGAATAAATCATCATCATAATAATGATAATAATATATAATTATATTTTACGTCTTTTTTTGTTATAATTTATGGACCTTTCACCACATGACAATCCAAGTTTAAAATTTATCTGTTTTTTTATTCATCTTCTTTCAGGAAAAACAATTGAAAGAGTTGAAGGCATCAGGACAGTCTTTTTTTCAAGCCGTGAGTACAAACCATAGCAATAATGTTAGGAAGTATTAATGAAACTAYTTTTTTTACCAAGAACTTATTGAATTCTTAGGAGGAGAAGACAAAGGCTGCTCAAGGAAGATTTTTTTAAAAATCTGGGAAGAAAGGAGATTTTGAGGAGGTACACAGGAAACTAACAAGCTTTTTTTTTAACTTATAATATCATATTAATTGCCATATATATAAATCATTTTTATAAGTAGATTTTTTTTGCTAATAAGGTTGATTATAGTTATTTTTTTCTTTCAGGATGATGTCCAAACTGTTTTTTTAATCAAGAGACCTAAAGAATATGTTGTCAAGTTTTCTTTTCCCAACCCTCCGCCTTTTTTTCCTCCAATTCTTGGTCTTAAAGGTCAGTTTGACATACACTATTCTGTCTTGTTTTTTTTTTTTTTTGTCTTTAGATTTATTCATTGTCTTATTGATTCAGTAATTATATTTTAATTTTTTTTCTAGTTTAGTTAATTTATAGTTGACTGACTGACTAATTTTTGAGATCGATGTTTTTTTTTTATTCATTGAGGTTGTGAATGGAACATTATGTCTTTGTTTTGTTTGCAGAGGTGATTTTTTTATATGGTGGGCAACAAGAATTGTTTCAAAATATTGATTTTGGTGTGGATTTATCTTTTTTTAGTAAGCTCAGTGTAGCTACAAGATATCTATTATCTCCTTAATTCTAACCTTTTTTTTTTTTGACTATCTTTAGTTGCTATTGTTGGCAATAATGGTGTAGGAAAGACAACTTTCTTTTTTTTATTAACTGGTCATTTATCACCAGTAAGTTATGGTAACTTATAATGTATTGTGTTTTTTTTATTTAAATTGCTATCTAATATTCTATCACTGGTATGCAGAACAACCCATTAAATTTTTTTTAATTAATTGATAAGTATTGCATTTCAGATTACAGGTGATTGGATTAAGAACCATTTTTTTTTAAGCAAGTGCTATGATAGTTTGAACAAAGAGTATTTTACACAGAATAAAGCTATTTTTTTATAACAACTGGTACATTTGTTTATTAACAGCAGTCCAATGCTAATTGCAGTTGTTTTTTTTTGTCTGGTTGTATAGTAATGCAAAACACAGTAAAAAAAAGCACTAGAAAAAACCTTTTTTTACAGACTCAAAGACAATGTATAGTGAATCTATGGCTGCAGTGTTTTTGACAAGCTTTTTTTTGATAACATTTTTTATGAGTCTTCTTGCAGCTTAAACAATCTAGTACATGTAACTTTTTTTTTCGTCTGTTGTCTATTTTCAGCGTATTGGAACATATAGCCAGCATTCAGCTGATTTTTTTAGTCTACAGTTTGTTTTAACATCTTTCTTGTATTTCTAACTGAATAATTTTTATTTTTTTTAAAGAATGATTGACATGTTGCATGGTCTCAAAAGAATGTAATTTTATGTATATTTTTTTTTGTTAAATTTAGAAGAATCATCAGTCGAATATCTACAGGTAAAAATCCTTTTCCTTTTTTTTTTTCACATTCATTCATTATTATTATATTTTTGAGCTACTGGTAATTTGCACATTTTTTTTTACTGATCAGTCCATTATTTTATTTAATTATCAGTCAAAATATAATCTGGATTATTTTTTTTCCAGAAAACACCTCGGCAGGTTTGGTCTTGCCAGTCATGCACATACCATACGAATTTTTTTTTTATCAGGTTTGTTTATGACATGATTTTGACAAGGAGAATTGAGAGAATATGTTTTTTTTAATGTTTACAATTTCATTGTCTGTTAATCAGGAGGACAAAAATCTCGTGTTGCTTTTTTTTACATGGCCCTTAGCAATCCAGATGTAATTATACTGGTATGTGACTGAATATATATTTTTTTACCAAAATTTATTGTAATTTGCAAGATTTTCAAGTTTGTTTGCAGACCTTGTATTTTTTTTAAATAACTTTATATTTCTTGTTGTCAGGATGAACCTACTAACAACTTGGACATTTTTTTTTTTGATGCCCTGGCTGATGCTATCAATGAATTTACTGGCGGTAAGAGCTCATCAATTTTTTTCTTGTTTTTCATAATGCGTCTGCTTTTTATATCTTCAATATGATTGTATGAGGATTTTTTTAATACACATAAAGTGTAGAGCTAGTTATTAAATACTGTCTGATGAGTGCGTAGCTTTTTTTTCGGAGTTACAGCAAAATCTTAAATACTGTCTGATGAGTGCGTAGCACGAAACTTTTTTTTACAGCAAAATCTTGCCTCTTTGATATTATATATATATCTTCAATATGATGTATTTTTTTTTTGTTATACTAGTAAGTCATGATGCAAGACTGATCCTGGAGACTGATTGTCAACTTTTTTTTGTTGAAAACAAAGATATTTCTGAAGTTGATGGGACATTTGATGATTATCGACAATTTTTTTTAGAAAAACTTGGTGAAGAAGTTGTTTCCAAGTCAGCCAACCATTAACAACACCTTTTTTTCTCAGATTGACATGAATATGAATGAAGATGGAGTTCCCAGCACAGCAAAAAATATTTTTTTGTATAAAAATCTGAACATTGTGGAAATGTTGTAGGATTACCAAAGCAGCTGCTGTTTTTTTCCATTTTTCCCACAGCAAACATTGGCAGTCTCCATTAACCTCCATTAAACCACATTTTTTTTACATGAATATGGATGAATGATGCTAATGTTTCTACAAGCATAAATTACACTCATTTTTTTTTTTAAATGACAATTTAGATAGACAGAATATGTATAGCTCTTGTAAATCTCTGGTTTTTTTAGGCATATTCTAAACACCTGATTCATGGGTGAACAATCTTTTGAGTGTATGGCTTTTTTTTAAACCTTGTTGTGCCATAGCAGTTCTAAGCTGACACACAAGACTTGATGCCAATTTTTTTTACGCGCAACCTACACTTCATTTAACAGCATTAATAAATGTCAAAATTAAATTTATTTTTTTTCAATAAAACTTATTTGTCTCAGAGTGATCCAACCTTCATGCAAAACTTTTTTCTTTTTTTTTCTAATATATCACTCTGTGATAATTCATTGATCTCATCAGACTTGCGTTTCAGTTTTTTTTTTAGAACAGATTTGCCGGAACAAGAAGTACAGTGGTTGTATCTGCTGTTTTAATTTTTTTCTTAAGATTTCCAAAATGTCTCATGGTCCAGCTCTAGGCTGAAAATGAAAACATTTTTTTTTAGAAATTTCATATTTTGAATTAATAAAATTATGGTGGCCTATTCATAATTTTTTTTTTTTCTATAGTAGCGTAGTCAGCCACCTTAACTTTTCCCCTGATGTTTTATTTATAGATTTTTTTGCAGCTAAGCATGAATATATTAAAAAATCGAACGACACTTGATTTGACCCTCCATTTTTTTCAAAAAAATTTTTTTGGAACTACAGAAAAGACGATTACATATGGGATAAATGTTTTTTTTTTTGGATGTTTGTTGTTTTATGGATAAAATTTCATCAAAAAGAGTGAGATCTACATTTTTTTACTTTTCTAAAGTTTGATTTTTGCTAATTGTGTTGACGATGGCAGAGCGGGAAATTTTTTTGCTATTATTGGGGTTTATTCTCTTTTCGATTGCAAGAGAAATTCTCGTCGAAAGTTTTTTTAATTTAAGATGTTTTCCATAATTTGTGTCTGCTAAATTCATGGCTAGCAATGTCTTTTTTTCCGAAATTCATTGTTATCAGATGCACAGGCTCACAAGCTTTAGCAGCAAAAGCATTTTTTTCTTGTGGCATTGTAACTTGCCAGATAAGCAAAAGTTGTAAAATCGTGTCATTTTTTTTTTTATTGGGCTAACAAATTTATTGTCAACACTACAAACGGGTCTCTCTCGAGTGCTATTTTTTTTGATATCGTTTGCTTATTATATAAACGAAAAGGCAAGCAGTCCATGTGTATAAATTTTTTTTGGAGGGACAAAACAATAGCACAATAAGGCCAGCATTTGCCAATAGTATCCACTTTTTTTTTATGCATGGCTGCATCTAACATTTCATAGCATTTCTCATTATTATTACACATATTTTTTTTATTGCAGTGCCATTAGTGTATCATCATGTATTGATTGCATAAATATAAATGTTTTTTTTTTCTGCCATGAATTGTTTGATAAAGAAAGCAAAAATCTACAATTTGCTGGAGCGAATTTTTTTAATTATACAGGAACTTTTGAATGTATTAGGTATTTTTTTGAGTAGGGATTATATTTTTTTTTTTTCCTTTATAGAAATACAGTGTAATATTTACCCAATGCCTCCAAATTTACAATTTTTTTTGTTTTGTTGGTCAATGGTAACGCGTGTTAATTCAGTGTCCGTGCTTTCACTTGTTTTTTTACATTTTTCAGTGTGTCCTTCGCTTTCAGTTGTTAACATTGTCACATACATGTATTTTTTTGAAGATAAAACTCATGCATACATTTATTACTAATGGACATGTCAACTAATACAATTTTTTTAGTTTATGAGATCTTCCAAACTGGATCTTCCAATTTGCAAACTATGTAAATTAGTTTTTTTCTGTAAGACTAAAGCATAAAGCATTGTCATTTTGATATCATATTTGTTTGATTTTTTTTTTTTTATAGGCTGTAACAACACTACTCAAGGTCCATATAACTGCAAGTGTGCGAGTTTTTTTTCTCTCAGTCGCATTAAGAGATGCTACTTTACTAGAAAAAGAATTCAGGCTTTATTTTTTTTCAAGGAGGGTCATACAGGTGCTCAATGCAACCAATGTAAAAATGGATGGTACCATTTTTTTAATTTCTCAGATCCCACAAACGTTTGCATTCCCTGTAATTGCACAGGAAACTTATTTTTTTCTAAAATAAACAGTTGTGACCAGGTTACTGGAAAATGTATAAAATGTGCATCAATTTTTTTAGGAGAACATTGTGAGCGTTGTGCCAGTGGTTTCTATGGAGATGCTGTTGTTGCTTTTTTTTGTACGGTGGAATATAAGGCTTCACATCAAGGTAAGTAATTGATGGCATTTTGATTTTTTTATTGATACCACAGTGTAAGCTAGTGTGAGGTGCACAGTACACCCTTCCTTAGAATTTTTTTCCTTGATTACTTTCTCCAAGTTTGTCTTCTTTATAACCATTGCTGCTATGTGCATTTTTTTCCTTCCTCAGGAGATCTTTTCAACTCCCTCCTCAGCAGACCTGCTCAAATCATGTTTTTTTGAAGGCTTTCAGAGTGTGAAAATAAACTAGATCTAGTGTAGTATCTAATATGCATTTTTTTTATCGTTATGATTGCTTTCCAGGTACAGCATGGCATGTCAATAAGGAAGCAATTTTTTTTTCTACTTGTTCGTCAATTGGTGCAGTTTGCATAATAGCTATAGCGTATCTCATCTTTTTTTTACATAAAAGATTCTTAACAAAAGGCCGTATACCTAAATTTTGGACTGTGGAAATTTTTTTTCGCAACTATGATGATCTAGACTTTTCGCTTCTTGATCCTGTGACAGACACTCCATTTTTTTACCGTAACGACACTAGAGACTTTGAAGAAGCTTTGATAGCAGAAGATTCAAAAGTTTTTTTACGTATAGATGTGGATACATACACTGCAGAGTTTGAAGACACATCATTTTGATGTTTTTTTTACAATTATTACATCATATAATTTATTTTGTTCATTTATACATGATTAAGGTTGTTTTTTTGTTTTGTAAAATTGCAGATTTTGACATTGTCATCACTGCACAGATCACAATTTTTTTTTTTTCTTTTTATAGAGTATTGCCAAGCTTTAATAGTGGCAAACTCCAAGCTAGCTGCTTTTTTTTAAATTATGACTGTTGCTAAATGTGTGACATTATTTATATTTGGTAAACATTGTTTTTTTTAATCATAAGTCCAAATTGAATGACGGTTAGTTCTTCATGCTTTTTAAATCTTGGTTTTTTTAATTGATTGAAATATTGATTTGTTTTATATGCAATTTACCAAAATCAAAATAGATTTTTTTATTGCATTTAAATCAGTTTTACCAAGGATACAAATGTGTGCAGGGAACAAAGAGTTTTTTTTCTTTTTATGTCTGTCAGGTTGTTATATAAGGAGACAACTTGATAAAAAGAATATTTTTTTCTTATAAGTGGAGCTATAAAAACGTTTTCTTAGTGGAGTATTTTTAGAAATAATTTTTTTTTAAATGTGATTCAATTTTAATCCCATCACAATAAGTGTTATCTGTGACATTTTATTTTTTTGTAAAGATATTAATAATTATAACTCTTCATATTTAACCTGTGAGACAACGTATCTTTTTTTAGTAAAATCCAAATGAATGTCACTACAACAGTTTGGAATAAAACCAAAACGAGTTTTTTTTTAGTATTGCAAGTCCATTATAAGTCAACAAAGAACAACATTTGATAAGGCTATATTTTTTTGTCCAAAATAAACTATAGTTTTGTTATTTGAAGAGGATGAATTAGTCTTTTACTTTTTTTTAGTGTGTTGAAATTTGAAGGATAATTTTGTAGTATATGTTATTCATTACTAAGTTTTTTTTTTATTGATGTAGAAATGTTCAAGCCATATAGAAATCTTTTTGTGTTTTAACTGTTTTTTTTCTGTATAACAAGAAAAAGGCTGGTTTCCACAGAGTAAATTATACTTTTATCTTTTTTTTTTTGTGAAAACCAGCCATTTGAGAAACAACTCTGTCATTTATCTGCAGATAAGGCTTTTTTTTTTTAAGTCTCACTGTAAAACASACCAGTACATCGTTAAACTTGAATTGTTGATATTTTTTTTACATATAGTATAGCTACATTTAGAATGTCTTACGTAATTCAAAAAATAAAAATTTTTTTTCTCACAGCCATATCATTTCTTTGTGGTCAAGACAAGTAAAAAATCATTATTGCATTTTTTTCTCTATTAAAAGGCCCTCTATTTAGCGATCACCCTCATTAAGCAGTTCCTCAAGTTTTTTTCAAAATTTGATTCTCATAGTTATATTTACTGTGTACAATGTAACCTCTATTGAATTTTTTTTTGAGCAGTCTTTGGTCTTTAGCCAAGGTCACCACTTAATAGAGCTTCAACCAATTTTTTTCTGTAGTGAGCACTCAATGATAAAAAAATAATCATTTCCCATTTTACAAAGGTATTTTTTTGAACAGTAGGATTAGAAGTCTGATAAGGAAAATGCTATAAAAATCTAAACTAGTTTTTTTTCTTGATTTATTTTAAATGAACTCAAATCAGTTTGACTATGTTTATAAGTGACATTTTTTTTAACCGATACCAATCAATCTGGTCATTTGTAAGGTTACACGTGATATTATCACAATTTTTTTTTGTAATAGTCTACTTCCTAACTTACAGTATGGAAATCATGATTTTTGACTTAGTTTTTTTAAGATTAAAATAATAAACAATTGGTCGACAATATTATTTATTGTT